AAAAAAAAAAAAAAAACTACCTAATATATAGTAATGTGTTGAATTTATACAATTATAATATTAGAATGTTCTTTATATAACTAGTGTGGTACCCGTGCGATGCACGAGCTAGTTTTATTAAGGTAAGCAGTTAAATTTGGATGATTTGAAAAACGTAAAATACATATATTGAAATGAAACACAATGTAACGTTATATATTATTAAACACATCATTGTACACAAAATTATTTGTTTAGTCTTTTGGTACATCGTCTATCGCCACAAATTATATTAAGATTGTAGATAGTCTTAAACAAATCGATTAAATTATTTAGCAGAATATATACGATATTTGTGTAAGTGTATGAAATCATTATTTATTTTGTAAGTGTATTCAATCAATTTCAAATTTGTATTCTAGATAATTAAACAAAACCCAAATTTTTAGGATGTTACAATCCGATTTCATTTTGAATTTAAAATTAATATTATATGACTTTGTTTTATGTTTAGAAAAGTTCGAATTAAAGAAAGTAGTAGTCAAATGATAAAAGATTTTTAGTTTTTAATTTGAAATTTGGCCCGATTTTTATGTAATCCGATTTTTTTAATAAACATGATTTGCTACAATTAAGTAAAGATACATGTTATAGTGTTTTGTCTAATTCAAAATACTAGATTGTAAAGTAAACATATTTTTTAATAAAAAAATAAAAGAATTTTGACTTTTACAAAATTGTCATGCCGACTATGCAATCCGATTTTTATAATAAATAATTGATTTGTTGCAATTAGTAAAAAATATATGTGATAGTATTTTGCCTAATTCGAAATTCTCGATTTTATTTTAATCAGTTTTTTTAATAAAAATAGAGAAAGAAAATTGACTTTTGCATCAGTCGAAATATACCTAAATTAAATCCACAAAATATATAAATGGTGCATATTTAAAAAAATTAAAATTGTTGTATCATTTCAAGATTAAATCAACCGTAATTAGTTTTAATGAAAATATAATAGTTTCCAAACAAAACACTTTAGTTAGCCAAAAATTTATGGTATGTAATATTGTTTCTTTATGGTAGCACGATTTTTTGAAAGAAAAGTAACAAATACCATAATTTTAGGGTAGCGTTTAATGTTGAAATTTTTGAAAAAAAAAATAAAAAAAAAGTTACTAAGTATGGAATGTAATTAATGCTAATTGAGATTTGACCAGAATTTGACCTACTATTTTTAAAAAATGGTAATTCTTTTTATATAGATATAGATATTTTTTTTTTTCAAAACGATAGGATGCTCTTTATATAATTACTATTTAGATAATTAATTAAGCCCTAATTAATATATATACATTTCCATATTCTTCATTACAGTGTGTAAAAATTATGGAGTTTGAGAAATTTATTTATACATGAAATTACGAACGGCTGATTATTTGTCGTTATTATGTGCCACAACCGAGTGGTCATATCTAAGGGTCAACGAGAATTTGAAAGTCAACTGGACTACTGGCCCATTGTAAAATTCGAGCCAAGTCTTTGGGCTGCCAGCCCACTCGTTTTGGTCCAGACAAAATCCTTTCATCAGAAACTTGGCTAAATTCATGAAATAATTTGAATATGCGTTGGGCCGGAGCTAATGAAAAGCCCAAATTAATAAAATCTGAAGAGACCCATCGGATGTCACAGAAACGGGGAATTAAATGGCAGAATAAACGGATTCGGAATTTGTGAGTATGAAATTACATATTGTAAATATACCAATTTTTCTATTTAAAATATGTGAATCAACAAGTTACCACATAAAAAAATATTTAATTTACCAACAAAGGTGGCTCACGTGGTAAACAGTTTTATGTCGTCTCGAGTTCGAGTCTTTGTGAATGCAAACTCTTGTTGGGAGACTCACCCACCATTGTCAGGTGTGCGACTCGGGTCGACCAACGGATTATTCGGAGCAAAGTCCGGATACCATGACTGGCTAAAAAAAAATCGATTCATGCTTCACAAACAATTCATTTTCTTTCTCTTTACCCCAAGAAAGTACGGAATCGTGCATTCGTCGTGTTTCAAAAACGAAAAATTCGTGTCCAACGGGTATAATGAGAAACACGCAAGTTAAAAAATAAATAAAAATGAAAATTCGTATGTTGTAGTATCATTTATTTTTTGGCACTTTGTATTTGAAATTATCGATAAATCCCTACAACCTAAGACCTTAATTAATTACTGGTCCAACACAAGATATTAAATTGTTTTAACATAAAATAGTTTTATGATCTGAATTAAATTTGTTTCTTGTCAAATAAAAATTTTCATTTTCTAATAGATGGTGAGTTTCATCTATTGAGTTGCTCTCAATTACACGATACAGTTTTCTTAATTTGATGTATAAACTCCACTTACACCATTATTGCTTTACTAATAGAGTCCACTGGTTCACATTCTATTATATAATTCAATTTCTTACTATTGTAAGATTTTTGCAAGAAATATTTATTCAATGTGAATTTGTAAATAATTAGGCAGATTAGTAATATGATTGCTATAGCGATTAAGACTTTGGAAAATTGACGTTCACATTGATGAATTCATACTTGAACTTGAAAATCATATATGAGTGTTTATTTAAATTTTAAATAAATATTAATTATCTCAATTTATGGCAATTATTAGACCATAATATATAGATGGGAAATGTTACAGTCCCATTACGGAACAATTCCGTTGAGATTTGTAACTGTTAGATCATTATGTTATCGTTGGGAATAGTTGATCTAACGATTACAAAACACAACGGAATAATTCCGTAACGATATCGTAGAATCTTTATATAAATACAGATACGAATCTTAAACCATAACATAACATTGTTTTAATTACACGTCATCTCTGTACGTACGCATAAATACATACATTTTCTTGTCAAATGTTATTTTATTTTTGTATATGTGACAGCAAATGAGGTGACGTGTCTCATGAGAATTTTGTTGTAGTAAAAACGGCGGGACGACCTCACTTCGAATCTAACTTAGAATATAACAGTATTACTAAAAAGATTAATTAGTCGGTTACAGCTGGAATTTACAAGTTTTATTATTTTATTTAACTGAGTAGCGTGTAAGGTTCAGGTACTTGCCACCTGGCAGACAATTCTAGTAATGTGTGCCATTCTGTAATGTGTGACGTCAGGCTTATGTTCAATTAGTTTAAGATTAACATATAGTATAGTATAGTATAAAAATGGCAGTCAACTGGGTTTTCATCTATATTTATGAATATTAATTATCTTTAAATACAAAATAGAGTAGTTTTATGTGATTTGTAACCATGGATGAAAGGTGTGCTTACTGCTGTTAAGTTACACGAGACCGGCTCGGAGTCGAGGTCTTAACGAGCCGAGCTCGAGTTCAGTTAAAGCTCGAATGGTTAACGAGCTCGGCTTGTTAAGGCTCGAAAATAGATTTTATATTTATTTTTTATAATTCGACTCGTTAAAGCTCGAGATCAGTTCATTAAAGCTCGAGCTCGAGGCCTTAAAGTTGAGCTCAAACTCGAATTTGGGCTTGTTTACTTTACGAGCCGAGCTTGACTCGACTCGTTAAGAGCTCGAGCTCGAGCTCAAGCACCTTAACCTGGAGTTCGGCTCGGCTTGTTTATAGCTCTAGCGTGCTTAATAATAGAGTAATCGAGTCGTATTTATAAATCATGTCTTAGTATTATTCATGCAACAATAATTACGCATCATTATTGCACTTTCTCAATTAAGTTTCCATATAATTCTACTTATTTTTTCACCATCCAAAGTTTTCGAACATTGAAAATGAACTTCAAACGGAAGGCTCCCCTCAAAAACAACTGAAAAGTATAATGGGGCTAGATGTAATTTTGCTAAGAAAAAGGCTGGCTTTTTTGTTGTTGCACCGAAATTGAGGGATGGCTTTGTAATTATCCGTTTGCTATCAATCAACTATCAAGTGCGTGGTGTCAAAAGCTGGGCCTCTCTAAGGGCATCTCCAATGGTAATAGCTATTACTAGCTATATAGTCAGCTGACATGGATGTGAGAGATAAGAAAAATAATTATTTACACTATTGGACCCACATACTCCTCTCACATAATATTGGGCTACGTGAAATAGATAAGCTATTTGTTAGTAGCTAGTGACTACTCTCTCTCTTACTTTTCCCCTGTCCACGT